AATATCAAGTATACAAGTAAACATCAATAAGTAATGGAAAGTATCATTTAAACTGTTATACTGTGTAACTTTATTCTGTTGTGACAAAATCAATTTTTACTTAAAACATTAATATTAAATACATGGGCTTTAAACAATATATTATTTTTCATCAAGTATGACAATCTACATGTACATATAATTGTATTACATGTATAATAATGATAATTATTACTATCATTATTATTAATATCCCTAGCTTACATTTATTATTAATATTTCATGTTATCACTAACTTGTGAACAAACTATTCTTCCACATTCCAAGCAATTATTAACCAGTTCGTGTTTCTGTCCGAGACACTGACATAAGAACCTCCCGGGGAACTTTATACTCAACTGAGACTCACCCTCTGCACTTAGCAACGGAACAAACTTAGTCTTTGAAGCCCCTCCCTCCTTTTTAGTTGTTTCACTTCTTTTATGAGTAGAGGGATTCTGTGGTGGGCATACACCAAATCCAGGGGGAGGGGCAATGGCTTTAGGAGCTTCTTTAACATCCTAAAATTATTATAATAATAATCACATCAAAATCCATGTCATATATTTCATATATCACATTGGTGAAATTGTTGCAAAACTTATACCAACAAAGTAAAACCCCTATACGATATGTTTAAAAACCTTTTTAGATTTCTTTGTCGTCTTCTTTGGTTCAAAAAGAACAAGTTCTTCTTTCTCCTGTCGGGAGTGTGCTACTATCATTTCCATGTTGCCATGGTGACGTCTCTCCTCCACTACGGCTGTCCAGCGGAGCAGAAACTCTCGTATGAAATCCTGATGAGACTTTTTACCTAAAAGACCCTCCAGGTAGTCTTCTACTTCAGCCTTAGTATCCATAGCAACTAGATACCTGTTGAATAATTTTAAAGTTCATAACATAATTTATTATAAAATACAAAATCAATAAAATGTTATTATTATTATGGAAGCCAAAGCCAACTTGATGGATTGCCAACAAAAATTGCTGACACCCAGACCAGACCAAACCAAAAAATGAATAAAATAAAATAAAATAAAACTAAAAAATGCTAAGTAAAAGAGGAAAGAGCACTAACAGAAAAAATGACAAGATAAACAAGGACACAAAAAATGAAAGGAACATGAATATTATTTTAAAATTAACTAAAAAAATCATTTCAAAAAAATAAAACTTTTAATAAATGGAAAAGATTTATCTAAATCAATAATTATAAGGTAATTTATTCTAAAGTCAGACATGTCTAGAAAAATAAGAATGACAGAAACGATTAGAGGAGGACAGTGGGAGAAATTGATTATCTGCCACTAGATAAATAGGAGCGAAACAGTCTAACCACAATGATTCAGTTATACTGGCATCCCAAAAAATATATTTGGCAGTATAATTAAAATCAAAAATTAATGATGAATTGGAGCCTGAAGGTTAAACCATAAAAATTAGGCCAACTAATCAACTGACAACTGTCAAATATGCATACAGCTCAAATCAATATTAGTGACTGAATAATTCTACACAATACTGCCCCAGTTTATTAACTAACTCTACTACTCCTTTATCAACTGGCAGCTGCAGTTGACTGGATAATCCTTCAGCTAACCATCTCTTTAGATCAGACTCCATTATTAATCTAGC